TCTCTCTTCCTACCTCCGTTGTCTGTCTGTCTATCTATCTGTCTATCTGCCGGTCTATCTGTCTGTTTCTGTCTGTCAATGTTTCTCTCTCCCCCCCCCTTCTCTCTTGTCTTCATTCTTAATGGGTAAAAGAAGCAGCCACCGTTCCCAGTGTACCTCGGATGGAGAGTTGAGACACACCCTCGCGTAAGTCAGCGCTGACATGGACAGGTATGTGATGACCAGCACACTGATGAACTGCCAGGTCCATGCTTTCTGCGGAGAAACTGAACATTTATAAAGGACCCAAGGAAGCTATAAATAAACCAAAAACTACAAAATTAATTATTTATTCTAGAGCAGCCTGATGATGCAGCGATTTGGAGATGAAAAGATGAGAGCCGGACATTCTCGCAAGGACACATTTATTGTTTTCGACACCTTCAAAAGATTGATAGTTTAGTGCAGGGCTATTAAGAAATGGCCATATCCCAGAACATCACCAAAGTGACGTTGATTAGGAAGGAACTTGAATCTTACCTTTGCTCTAATATGCTATGCCACCGACTACTTCTATAGCTTATTCAATTTCGGTCAGATAAAACAGCAGAATTTCCTAAAAAGCATTTTTCAGATGTTAAAAATTGCCGTCGTGTATTTGATCTGCTTTTATATTCCTCTTTCAAACACTACAGGGTATGCCCCCAGAGCAATTGAACACGCTGAAATTTTCTTGTAAATTATTTTGTTCAGAATTATGGCATTGTTGACGGATGATACTAAAATGTAAGGTCATCAAACATCGGTGAACATCATCATCATCATCCAGTGCCAGATCTGCGGATGCACTGGTCGTTTTTCAGACATTGACGAAATGCATTGTATGGTCATGATACCTCATAATTCGAAGCGAACGTCCTTATCATAATGCCACACAGACTTGCTATAGTCGAGTCGGTGGGTTAGATATTACGACGCTAATTTGCAGTCCTAGCGATCCAAGTTTGAATCCTCAACCGGTTTTGTATTTAAACTGATATAAATAGCAATGCCGTCACTCATCATCATCATCATCATCATCATCATCATCATCATCATCATCATCATCATGGAATGGTTTTCCATTCATTCCTTTGCTCGGATGCTCTCAGAAAAGCTACGTTTCCCTGATCTTTCCCTGTTACCCATTTGTTTAGGTTCC